ATCGAAGAGGTCGAAAGGATCTCACTTTCAAACCCCGGCTATACAAGTCGAGCCGAAGCAAAAAACTCTGCCCTAGGGCCTGAGACAAAAAATGCGACTCAACTCAAGACCACGCAAATGGCTCTGGTAACGACCGAGCTAATAGAGGATCATGCCGCTGTCATAAAACGACTCCTCCGGTTGGAGCACCTAAATTCCGAGGAATTCGGACATGTGCAACGACTAATCGCAAAAAATAATGATATTTTCCATATCCCGACCGATAGCTTAGGGTACACAAACGCAACCAAACACGCGATCACCACGACCGACGAGCTGCCCGTGCACACTAAACAGTACCGTTTCCCTCCGATTCACAGAGAGGAGATCGACAAACAAATAGAACAGCTCTTGGCAAATAAAGTAATAAAACCGTATCTCCATACAACTCCCCGCTGTGGATCGTACCAAAGAAACCCGACTCGTTGGGCAACAAACGCTGGCGCATGGTGATCGATTTTCGCGCACTAAATGAAAAAACAATAAGAGACGCGTATCCCCTGCCAAACATTACTGAAATTCTAGATCAATTAGGTAGCGCGAAATACTTTAGCGTCTTCGATTTAGCATCCGGATTCCATCAGATCCCCATGTATGAAACTGATGCACCTAAAATCGCCTTTTCCACCCCTCACGGACACTATCAGTTCGAACGTATGCCGTTCGGTCTAAAAAACGCCCCGGCCACATTCCAACGACTTATGGACCGGGTATTGTCCGGGCTACAAGGCAATGAGGTTTTCGTGTATTTAGACGACATCGTGTTGTACGCGAGTTCTCTACGCGAACACGAAATTAAGTTTAATAAGTTAGCCGAAAGACTGCGCGCCGTGAACTTAAAACTTCAACCCGATAAGTGCGAGTTTCTGCGAAAGGAAGTCACTTATTTGGGACACGTGATCGGGGAAGACGGCGTTAAACCGGACCCCAATAAAATCAACGCGGTTAAAAACTTTCCACGACCGAAAGACGCGAAAACCATAAAACAGTTTTTGGGCCTGGCGGGATATTATCGCCGATCCATACCCGGTTTTTCCAAGATAGCTTGACCACTTACAAATTTACTCAAGCGAGAAAGGCCGTTCGAATGGGGAGAGGCTCAAGAACACGCTTTTCAGGCACTCAAGGACGCACTGTGTTCTCAACCACTTCTGCAGTACCCAGACTTTACAAGGCCGTTCGTAGTAACTACCGACGCGTCACAGTACGCTATAGGCGGAGTACTAAGTCAAAGAACCATCGGGAAAGATCAACCAATCGCATATACCTCGCGACTATTAAACGCCGCGGAGCAGAATTACTCCATTATTGAAAAGGAGCTTTTAGCCATCGTGTATTGCGTGAATCATTTTCGTCCGTATCTTTATGGACTAAGTTCAGTCTCGTCACGGATCATAAGCCGTTAGTATGGTTACATTCCGTCAAGGACCCTACGTCTCGACTCGTACGCTGGAGACTAAAACTTGCAGAGTACGAGTATAATGTAATATACAAAGCTGGGAAAATAAACCTTAACGCCGATGCCCTTTCCCGAAATCCTGTACTCACACCGTGTTTCCCAACGAACCCTGAATCCCAGAGCAATAAAATCTTCGATAACCATAAATTTCTATATCCTCTTACCCACGATAAAGGCTCTGACTCAGACGAATCCATATTCAACGCACACACACGAAGAAAGGACAAGAATAAACTTGTCGAGACTCCATCAGGTAACACTCCTGACGCTATTCCCCTTGACACGAACGATATTGAACGAAATGACAACCGTACGCGAACTGACACGAAAGATGATGAGACAGAAAGCTATCCAACTCCCTTGGATAATCTAAGTACACAGACAATCATAGACACCGCGAAGGTTGACAGCGACAATTCCGAGACAGACGATGAATCGGAAAATAGCGACGAGAGCGACCATGAATTAATTACCCCCCCGAACCGACCCTACATATTCGAGAGACCGCCGGACGAAGCAAACATTAGCCAATTCAACGATAACTTTGTAACAAGGAAAGGTAATCTGGTCGTTTTCATTACCGAAAGAGGCGTACCATGCGACCTAGGAGGACGCCTTTTGAGCGAGCATGATCTCCTTCCCTCGATAAGGGACGCTATATTGGGCCGTGTAAAAATAACCCGCATTGGGAATAGATATATTATAGCATTAGTTGTAAAAGAACGCACATCCGAGTTAACCGAGCGGAAAGTACTAAAGGAATCACTCATAACACTATTAGACGCGATGCGAGAATTAGACCTTAAGGAATTTTCGATCTGCAAGGGAAACGTAGACGACGTCATGTGGGTAACAATCCACGGACTTCTACATAAAATATTTGAAGGCACGGCCATAAAGATCACTGTTTGCAGTAATAATATTACCATTCCCTTGCCGAACGAACGAAGAAAGATCATTGAGGAATATCATGCGTCTGCCTTAGGTGGTCACAAGGGTGTAACAAAAACCTATAATCGTATTCGGCAACGTTTTTCATGGCCTAACATGAAAACAGAAATCCAAGCGCATATAAAAACCTGCCGGGACTGCCAGCTGAAAAAACTGACGAGGATAAAGACGCGCCAACCCATGGTCCTCACGGACACGCCTGACACAGCTTTCGACAAGATTTCAATGGACGTTATGGGCCCATTACCTATTACACAAAGGGGTAACGTCTATATTCTCACGATCCAGGATTTATTAACAAAATATTTACTGGCGATCCCTTTACAGTACGCTACAGCCACAGATACTGCGAATGCATTTATCGACGATTTCATATGTATATACGAAGCCCCGAAGGCGCTCCTTACCGATCAAGGATCAAACTTTATTAATAGTCTTATGCGCGGAATAGCACGAAAATTTAGAATAGCACAATGTAAAACCACCGCGTATCGCCCACAGTCAAACGGATCGGTCGAGCGATCTCACCAAGTGCTGTGGGACTACCTAAAGCAATATATCAATAAAGATAACGAATGGGATTGCTGGCTTAAGCTAGCCTGTTTTTCGTATAACACAAGCGTACATGAGGGAACTAACTATACCCCTCACAAGTTAGTATTTGATAAAATTGCTCGAACCCCATCAAGCGATCCCGCGCCGGAAGACGGGCAAGACGAAAGTTATACCCATTACCTCACGAGGCTATTGAATAGACTCAGGGATGCTTAGGCAATAGCCCGTGAAAACCTAATAGCCGCCAAAGAACGATCCAAATCATACTATGACCGTAGGATAAACACGCGTAATTTTAAGTTAGATGATAGTGTATACTTGTTAAAAGAACCTAGGAAGAATAAGTTAGCGGATCAG